CCCCAAAACCCCAAAACCCCAAAACCCCAAAACCCCAAATCTACTCTAAAATATTTAACCATTACTAAAAAAATCTAAACATGGGAGCAGATACTAGTCACGAAGAAGTCCAACCCTCTGCAGAAGCAGCTGTGGACAAAGAGACGAAGGAACAGAAGGCAAGGTTTTATAGAAAGCAGTTGGCCCAGATTGTTGAAGAGGTTGTGGATAGGACTGGGGGGAGAAGAGTGAGTGTGATTGGGGAGGAAGCTAGTGTGTGAGATTTTAACTTTAAGAAGCTTATTTTTACGTATTCCTGGGAAGAGAAATTTAAGATTACTTGGGAAATTCTTGAAGAAAAATATGTTGACCCTGAAGGTAATAAATTGTTCCCTTTATACTATGCCTTAAACACTCAACTAAAAATGCAAAGCATGATAAACTTTGCTTTTATGAATAAGTCATCCCACTTGATCCTTAAAATGATCGAAGAACATCCTCAAGAAATGATCAGTTATATAAGTAAAAATAAAGAATGGTCAATGCTGCACGATTTAGCTTCCATCAAGACAAAGTTTTCATCAGATGACAAGAAACTTGCTAAATGGGTAATTCAAAACATAGGAGAGTTCAATAAGAATTCATTTAAACAGACGTTTCTTGAAACAGCCATCAGCAACTTGTCTCCAAACTTTGATTTCTTAGCTAAAGTGGCTTGGATAAACAGAAATAAAATTTTAATTGTAAGAGCATTAAAATAGGACTTCACTCCGAGAGAATCTATTCAGAAATGTCATAAAGCACTGCTATGAAGAGAAACTTATCAGCACCTATTATTACAAAATAGCTAAAAGTAACAAGCATATCTACGAAAAAAATGGCTCAAAAGGGCCCAAAAAGTTCCACTATACCGAATTCCTACTCGAAACGCACACTCAATTCTAAAGAACCTATCAAAAATTTCAGCTAGCCCAAATTATCCTTCCTCTAAAATTTAAAAATAAATTTAGCCACTAAAATTATCAATATTCTTCAAAGAACTCGGGGTTTTGGGGTTTTGGGGTTTTGGGGTTTTGGGG